TCTCTCCATGCCCCACCCCTCTCTCGCCCTCGCCCTCTCTCCTCGAGCCGGCCTCGTCTCCTCCCGTCGCTCTGGTTCTGTCCCCGCTGAGCTTTGCATCTCAGTGTTCAGACGAGGAGTTCAGCCCGCTCTGATCCATGTTTGTTTTTATGCATTAAAGCACGTATGGTTTCAGTTCAGATGTCCAAACTCAACATTTGTATTGGAATTGGAACGCCAGCTCTTCATGAAAGTGTATGTAGTGTTTTTCATTTTCTTCATGAAAATGTATTGCAGTATTTTTTTCAAAGTATGCTTTGCCCTTTGAAATCTTCATGCTGTCGTTAAGGAAGAAATTCCACTTCATTTTGTGTATTTTGTACCAGAACAGTAAACTGTGTGGTTTATTGCTATTTTCCTGTTAATATGTTAATTACTACTAGACTCTTTAGTTGCTTTCGTCATAAAACATCAACATTAATACATTTTTCGTTATTCATTATTATTATTAATACATTACTGTCTGACTCTACATGATGATCGCTTTAGATTTATTAACTTTAATAACTTATTCTACATTTTCAGTCTTCAGTTTAAAATGTAAAAGTTAATAAAACATGCTAAAATCATCATGATTCTTCTTTTTTATACATATGTTGTAGTTTTGAAATAGACTTTTACTTCAGAAACACATTTTATTGTCTGGAAGCAGTTTAAACACCAGTTTCATACTGAGATGTGTCAGACATCACACCGCACAAAATTCCACGCGACCTAATCTGGCACGTCCTCCGGTCCCACAACGTGCCTGAGGTCTACGTCCAGTGGATTCAAGCGCTTTACCGCAACGTCACCAGCGTGGTTCGAACCCCGGTCGGAACATCACCGTCCTACCCCATCCCCGTCGGAGTCCATCAAGGATCAGCCCTCTCGCCGCTCCTATTCATCCTATGCATGGACACGGTGACGGCCGACATCCAAATCGCCCACCCGTGGTCGCTCCTCTTCGCTGACGACGTATTCTTAGCAAGCGAAGACCATCAACAGCTGCAAGACCAAATGCAGCAATGGAAGACCCGACTTCACAAGTACAGAATGCGGCTAAACATCAAGAAGAGTATATGGAATGCGGGCCTCAGACGAACGGAGCCATCAGCATTGACGGCAAAGATCTGAAGAAGGCGACCAATTTCAAGTATCTCGGATCTGTCATCAGCAGCAACGGCGACACCTTCCTGGACGCCCGAACCAGAGTCCATGCCGCCTGGATGAAATGGCGGCAAGTCACCGGCGTCCTGTGCGATCGACGAATGCCCATTCGAATGAAAGCCAAGATTTACAAGACCGTGGTACATCCCATAGCCCTCTATGGATCGGAGTGCTGGCCAGCAACATCCAAGCAGGAGCAGGCCCTTCACGCAATGGAAATGTGAATGCTGCGATGGTGTCTTCGTCTGACCCAATGGGACCACGTGACAAACGAAGACGTCAGATAGCGGATGGGCATCGCCCCAATCGTGGAGAAGATGCGAGAAGGACGACTCCGGTGGTATGGCCACTTCGTAAGAAGCGACGAAGGATCGGTGACGAGAACAGCACTCCGACTAAGCCCGCACGGCAAGCGACCACGCGGAAGGCCCAAGAAGCGATGGCTCGACCGTTTGAAGGACGATATGCGGCACGCCAACATCGCCCCGGAGGATGCTCTGGACGAGCCAAATGGAGACGGGCGTGCAGAACAGCAGACCCTGCACCCAAGCGGGAAAATCGCTAGGACAAAGATGTGTCAGACATCACACACAGTATTGCACTGATTATCATTAATCTGCTTTCTTTCAAATAAAATCAAAACGTTCAACATATGTCTTATTTATTTATTTATTTTAAAAATCTTTTGTCTTTCAAAATTTCTTAAATTAGGAACAGACTTGAACACTAAAACAAAGGATCATTACCAACTCAGCGCACATCTTTGGTGAAAATGTCTCTAAATTTTGGGTCTTATGTATTGAGAAGTGATTTAATTTTTAAAAGTAACATCATAATAATCAAATTATTTCATGTTGTGATGGTAATGATATTTTGCAGTGACTAACATTTGAATGGTTAAATTGGCAAAATCCACCCTCGAGTGGATCAGATAGTTAGTACAGGACACATGATAAACATTTTAACAGAGAAACAAACAGTCAGGTAGTCCAATAATAATAATCACCCATAACTACTGTTAAAACTATTATGAAAACACTACATTTAGAACACAACAATGACAGATTTAGACATTAAGATTACATTCAGCTATATAATGGATAAGATATGTGATCTACAGATGCTTTGAGACATTCGAGTCCGACCTGAGCAGTCCTGAGATCAGAGGATCATCTGACGAGATGGTGGATGTATGTAGTCTTT